CACCCACACCCACACCCACACCCCCACCCACACCCACACCCACACCCTCCATTCGAGAGATGAGTGATTTCACATAGGAAGATGAAATTCTCTTCTCCATGCATACAGTTTTTCGAATTGGTGACATTCGAAAAATTGATAGAATCGTCCACTTTACGAAGTGGACCTTAAACTCACGTCTGATGATGACGAGTAACTCCATCAATTAACCAACCACATAGCAGAAGAGGTCGGTGGCGACGAATGGTATCGATTGGGCCAATTGCTGCTCAAAATTGGTCAATTCGACAAGACTGAAGAACTGTATAACGCACTACTAGAGCGGACATCCGATGATACTGATAGAGCATATATCTATCACGAGCTAGGAAGAGTAAAATGGCAACAGGGTCAATATGAAGAAGAGATTACGTTTTACGAGAAAGCACTCGAAATCTATCGAAAAACCCTTTTGGAAGATCACCCAAAATTGGCTAATATCTACAACAATATTGGTCTTGCCTATAACAAAATGGGTGACTACTCGAAAGCACTTGAATTTTACGAAAAAGCACATAAAATCTACGAAAAAGCTCTCCCTCCAAAACATCCCGATTTTGCTACTTCATACAGCAACATTGGTCAAGTGTATAACAACATGGGTGACTACTCGAACGCACTTGAATTTTACGAAAAATCACATAAAATAAGAAAAACTTTACCTTCGAATCATCCCAAATTGGCTACTTCATCCAACAACATCGGTCAAGTGTATAACAACATGGGTGACTACTTGAAAGCACTTGAACTTCACGAAAAATCACATAAAATAAAAGAAAAAGTTCTACCTCCGAATCATCCCTCACTGGCTACTTCCTACAACAACATCGGTGGAGTGTATAACAACATGGGTGACCACTCGAAAGCGCTTGAATTTTACGAAAAAGCATTTAAAATAAGAGAAAAAGCTCTGCCTTCGAATCATCCCGATTTGGCTGGTACCTACAATAACATCGGTGAAGTGTATGACAACATGGGTGACTACTCGAAAGTACTTGAATTTCACGAAAAAGCACTTCAAATAAAAGAAAAAGCTCTACCTCCGAATCATCCCGATTTGGCTACTTCTTACAATGAGATTGGTCTCACATATAACAACATGGGTGACTATTCGAAAGCCCTTGAATTTTACGAGAAATCACATAGAATCTACGAAAAATTCCTGCCTCCGTATCATCCCTGGTTGGCTACTTCCTACAGCAACATCGGTCAAGTGTATAACAACATGAGTGACTACTTGAGAGCACTTGAATTTCACGAAAGAGCACTTAAAATTAGAGAAAAAGCTCTACCTCCGAATCATCCCGATTTGGCTATTTCATGCAACAATATCGGTCAAGTATATAACAACATGGGTGATTACTCGAAAGCAGTTGAATTTTACGAAAAAGATCTCAAAATCACGAAAGAAGCTCTGCCTCCCAGTCATCCCGATTTGGCTACTTCATACAACAACATCGGCATGGCGTATTTCGGCAAAGGAGACTACTCAAAAGCACTCTCATTCTTAGAAAAGGCACTTGTTACCTTGCAAAAATCACTCCCATCTAATCATCCTAATACTATAGCGGTCACAAATTCAATTGACAATGTGAAAAAGAAACTGTAATTGTAATTTTTCTTCTCGCTTGCTCAATAAGTTTATTCATATTGTTATTTATTTTAACTTTCCTCGGCTCATTTTGGCTTACGCGCGCGCAACAAGGGAGAGATCCCTTGTGAATGCCATAGATACCACAGAGTGGACTACGCCGGACTAGTAGGGCAATGGCCGAAGGTATACTGTATGAACGGTAGGAACCAACGATACATAGAGGCCTTCCCTACTACTACACTGCTTCCCTATGACATGAAAGTTCCTCTCCCTATTGAGTCAGACAACGTAGCTATCTGACCCACAGTGATAACATTGATAACTTAACTGAACTCATACTCATATTTATCTAAGTCTCGCTCTCTCAGTCTAATTCAAGGGGAAAGTGCAGGCACCCAGCACTCTAGCACTTCAGCACCTGTTCGATACATTTACCGCATTCCACTATGAGCACTCTTCCATTATCTGAAGTACTTTTTCAGTACCTTACAATAAAATTTAGTGTTTAGGCTCTGTCTTTTAAATTTTATTACAAGGTGCTGAAAAAGTACTTCAAATAATGGAAGAGTGGTTGAAAGTGCTGAAGGCGCTCATAGTGAAATGCGGTAAAGGTGTCAAACAGGTGCTGAAGGTACTAGCTAGGTGCCGAACAGGTGCTGAGGTGCTGGGTGCCTGTACTTACCCCCTTGATCTAATTCAATGTATCACTGACTATGCATATACATATGTATGCATAGATTTTAGAAATTAATTTCATCCGGAATTTTTTTTAAGACTCAATCTGACATATATTCATACATGCTTCTACATATATGAGATAACCTCAACTTAACACTCAACCTTAACTTAAAATAAAAAATTTTTTTTCCTACCTCTCAATGTTGTATTGTATTGTAGCTCATCTAAAAAAAAGAAAAAAAAAGTATTGTTAAATATAAAGAGAAGTAATTTACTTTGTTTAAAATATAATGATATCTTTATCATTGTAAATAATATAATAATAATAATAATAAATAATGTATCCGAGTATATAATTACATTGTAGTGCATCATATTGATAAAATGCGAAGGTGCGGTTTCATGATGATACATCGATGTTTTTATATACCCTATGGCTAATTGATCGATGTTCATAGTTTTGATTGATTTTTTTATCAATCATTCAACAGACGTGAATTGATGTGGCACATGTGTGTTAATTGATATGCTCAACAGGTAACACTACATAATTGATTTGAAGATCAATTTAATTTATATGTGGTGATATGTTCATGTTTTGTTACCTTGTTTGTGTCTCATCTGAGGACGTAGATCAATATCATGTCGTCGTCGACAAAAGAGTACTCATCTTATGTGCAGGGTGGCTCAAAAGTCACATTACCGGGAAAAAATTGAATATCTCCATTACAGCTCGAGCAAATGAGCTGATTTTTTTGCCAATGCTAGAGGCATGTTTAAGCTTTATATCTACAAATATATACATAGAGAGGCCCTTTGATAAGTATATCTTTCTGTTTTCCTATCTGTGACAAAGTAAAATTTCTTTGCTAAAGTCAATAGTTATACTTAACAAAGGATTTCTCTGGGCATGTCTTTATAGATATAAACTTTGAATATGCTTCTATCATTGATAAAAAGATCAGCTCATTTACCTAAGCCGTAATGGAGATATTCAATTTTTCTTCGGTAAACCGACTTTTGAGCCATCCTGTATATATATGGGATGTGGGTTGAAGAAGACATTAACATACACACCCACACCTTGAAACCTGAAAGTTATTCGAAAATGAATTCCATCGATTGATGAAATTTTAGAAAAGAAAAAAAACAGAATGGAGCAAATCTATGCAATTAAGAACTGCTGAACGAATCGATAGATATTCCAAATCAAAATAAAACTTGCACAGATTTTGTTCTAAATAAGACGCAAAATTATGAAATAATTTTTTATTTTTTGACTTAGAAAATAAATTTAGATTTGTATCCTTGGTTTTGATTTAACTGTACAAAGTAGTCCTTTTTCACTGATTCATATTATAATGTGCTATTCAATGACTACTTCTGCATTGATACAAGAAAAAGATTTTGGTAAATATTTTTGTTTTTGAGCAAGTGAATATGTATATTCTAAATATTTGACTGATTGATGGAAAAAAATGCTACTAGAAAGTCAATAAGTTTAAATGTTCTTAGGTTTTATTTGAGTAAATCTTGCTAAAATAAACTCTATTTTGATAAGATTAATATCGATAGTAAAACCATGAAAAAGTGTATTATCAAAAGATCGAACGAAAATTTACCAAGAATCATTTAATGAGATAACCATACGACACAATGCATTATTCTTTATAAAAGTCATGTATATCATTCTTCGATTCGTATCATTAGATACGAGTTCTATGTATATATATAGTAGGAGGTTTTAAGTCCTAGAGGATTTTGACAAAAACATTTTTCAATATAGTCATTCGAAAGAGCAGAAAATTCTGAACAAAATGAGGGATGGCACAGCTCTGTACGATATTCCATCGCGAAATTATAAGCATTAGAAAAAAGGCAAAAAATTGCAAATTTTATGGAAAAACCTTAAAAATCGACTAAAAACAGATTTTTTTGACTTTTTCTAATGCTTATAATTTCGCGATGGAACATCGTACAGAGCTACGCCATCCCTCATTTTGTTCAGAATTTTCTGCTCTTTCGAATGACTATAT